ACAGTCTGCGAGGTGGCTCTCAAGCCATGCGAGTTTCTTTGCTGGCCATGTCGACTTTCGGCCCGGCTTTCCCTTCGGCTTTGGCTGAAGATGTTTACTGCCTTTCGGACCCTTGCGCGTAGAAAGATTTTGTGCGGAGGGTGTGGATGGCGAAGGCGTTGGGTCAGTGGAGGGCACTGGAGCCGTGGAGGGGGCCGGAGTCGTGGAGGGCGCCGGAGTCGTGGAGGGCGCCGGAGTCGTGGAAGGGGCCGGAGTCGTGGAGGGCGCTGGAGTCGTGGAGGGTGCCGGAGTCGTGGAGAGCGCGGGAGTCGTGGAGGGTGCCGGAGTCGTGGATGGTGCCGGAGTCGCAAGGGGTGCCGAAGTCGTGGACGGTGCCAGAGTAGAAGCATTTCCCGATGAAGATGCTGTGGGAGCAGGCGCTGTTCCAGATGGCGGCGTGAGAGGCAAAGACAAGCCCCGTGAAAGAGTAGCTGCAGACGCGATGGCATCAGATGATGGCTGGCTCACTGAAGTTGGCGCGTTGATGGCGCCAAACGTAGCAGTAGAGGAACCCGCGAGTTGGCCAGAAGGTACTGTAAGCCCAGTAGGCAGCGGATTGGGCGCAGGAGCAGTCGATGGCTCTGCCATGACGAGCTCAACAAGCAGTCGAGAGGCGGCGGAGCACGATCAAAATTAAAATAAAAAAGGGTGTTCAACAACGCGTCCACAAGCGTCCACAAGCGCCTACCCGTGACCTCGCCGACACGTGTCAGAAGCACAGCTCGAACGCAGTCGAACGCTAATGAGAAGACCTTGATAAACGCAGCATGCATTGTACGTCCACGGTATCTCCTTTCCCCCACCTTTTAGCCCCCGACGCACTGCCAATCATGCCCGCCGTCCAATCGCGCCCTCTTACCGCTAGACCCCATATCGAAGGTGGCTATATCAGCCTCTCTAGCGATGATTCCAGCGAGGATGACTGGATGACGGCGTACGAGAGCACGAATTACGACGGGTCCGACCACGACGAATGGCTCGCTGCGATCATGTGCACACTGACCGTCGAAAGGGAGCCCGGTGTCTATGGTACGTTTTCCTGTCTTCATCTTTGCCATTTGTCTGCTTATTGATCGCCGAGCGCATCAGCTGTAGTCGAGGCTGGTGATTCGTCTCCTACGCCCGCTCCTCAGGATTCACCACCAGCTCGTTTGCCCCTGACCACCCAACCAACGCCCGTCGCTTCAACATCCTCCCCTTCTCCCTCCACGCCACGTCTCAACCGTGCTGGAAAAGTGTACATTGTCGATGTACCGACAATCATGGGATCGCAGGTCGTGAACCATTGGTAGGTTTATATCCTTTTGCCGGAACCCTCGCCGCTCACCTCTTTACAGGGCAAAGGCGGCGGATCTCACCCAAGGTGTCGAGGGTGCTCACGTTCGCAGTGTTGTCGCCCGTCGTACGCCAAGCGATATTTTCCAACGTGGACGGGGCCTCGCCACCCCTGTTTCCCCTTCATCGGGTAAGGCCTCGAAGGAAAAGGCCTATAGCGCCATCGTTGCCCATATGCCTGGTGTGTTCTCCACTTGGTGAGTTCTTGTATTTTTTTTTAGCTCCGCTCATTGTTGCTAATGAGCTCCCTCGTAGGGGCGATCTCGTTCGTGCCGTGTTTGGCACACCAGGCCAAGTCTACAAGAAGCACAAGTCGCTCCTGGACGCCCATATCCATTATGCGGATATGCAACGCAAGGGCCTTGTGCGGGCAGTACCGTACCATGGCCGTCATCCCCTTCCGCCACCACTCCCCACCCCTCCCGGCCTTCCTCCGCCGCCGCAAACATCCAAGACGACATACACTGTTACCCAGGGAAGGCGTGTTGGTGTCTACCGCGAATGGTAAGAGTATTTTTTCATACCCCACGTAGTACTGATACGAATGTTATTCTTTATTGAGGGCCGAGGCAGCCGCACAGGTCCTGTTCGTCCGGTGTGCGGTCGTCACCGCATACTCTACCCCAGAAGATGCGGAGGCCGCTTTTGCACTTGCGTTGAAGGAGGGCCACGTTCGTGTGCGTACGTGAGTTTCGGTGGTGCTGGATTTTCTCGTCGTCTATCTCTCTTTAAACTTTCCTCGTTGACCGTGGCACCCCTCCTGCTCTTTGAGTATCCGTACCGTTCACTCGTCATTAGTAGCTGTCGGGTTTCCCTCGCTCTATACATGCTTTCACCTGTTTTCATTTTGTTTATCGGTTTTCTTGGAAGTCCCCAACCGCTATGTACATATCTGTGTCCCCAACCCAACGTTGAACTTGCTGTGTATTACAGTCCACGTGCCCCACTGCGACATGCATGTTGCAAAAATAGGTACAAGAACCAGGCCCCATAAGCGGGTGCGGGGGAACGCGGGAGTTTCGTCTGCATGCTTGGCCTAGACAACCTTCCTCTTCGCCATACCTACCTAGCTACAGTCATAATGCACGGCGCACTCTAGTCTAGTGGATAAAGTGGCAATCCGCACATGCACCTGCAGTAAGTACAGTGGTTCGATTCCCAGTAGAGTGAGAGAATGTGAACTTTTATTTTTCTATAACCTCAGGGAGCTTGCAGGGAGCTATAAATATACGGCTTACTTCTCTTTCTTTCTTTTTTTTTACATTGATATATATGCTGCATGCAGTGAGATCGTGCTTGCTCGCGGATTCTGTCTGCCGAGGGTAGGAGAACAGGAGCCGAACATCAAGCCGAGCGGAGTTCAAACTGAGCGCTCATGTTCGACACAGAATGGGTCGAGGCTTCTCCTCGAGCGCTTCTGTAGTGCACTACAGTTTCCACTACAAACTGGATGGTAACGTCGTGCAACCTGACTTGGCGTAGTCTGCTTCCTCGTTGCGACCTGCTGGCAGGCCTCCTATTGCTCTCGTCCTCTTCTTGCTCTTTCCTCCTGGATCTTCTTGCTCGTAGCATCCTCCTGGCTACACAACTTAGCTCTCTACCTTCCTGACTATGGCTGACGGTGACACCAACACCAACAACACCAAAGGCACCAACTCTACTACTGAAAACGATCGAAAGGAAGAGGAAGATGAGGACTCCCGCTACGCTGAGGCCTTGAATCGTCTTTCCGAGAGGGTCGACTTCTTTTCCATTGACGGTCCACTGGACAGGGTGCCCACCTATCGGAATCACGAGTATGAATGTTTCATGCAACGCGGTGCGTTCCATTCTCTTTTTCTGAAGCTATCGAATATTGACACCTAGAACAGCAAGCAGGCCGGACGCCCTTCCTCAGCATAAAGTTGGACGCTACTGGCGTTTCGACTCGATCTTTGAACGCAAGTGCGAACGCGGATTAAATGAGGAGGACCTAGCCTTGATCCCGGAGTACTTGAAGGAGCAGGCTGCCAAAGTGAGGGCCCGGTACGTTTTTTTGCATGTCTTATGTACGCTTTCAACCAACTGGAATCCTTTAGCGGGTATGAAAATTATTTTGCTCTTCCTTCTGGGTCTCCGCCATACTCCGATGACTTCGTCCTGCTCTCGAGGTTGGAGCTGCCAAGTGAGCGTGATTCCAACCTACGAACAGCGAAGGACATTGTGGACGATGCCATCGACTGCTTTGAGGACGATGAGAGCCTGGGAATCCTTGTCCAGGGACTTCATCGCCATATTCGAACCCGCGTCGATGTCGTTGAGATGCTCAGAGCCGAGTACATCCGCAAGAAAAAAGACGATCCCGACCGCAGCATCAACCTGGCCTCATCCGTTCACAACATCGCCGCCTTCGCACAAGTACTCGCTCTCCTCTGTGATGGTATCCCGTACTTGCTCGCCGCTTATGAAGATGAGGCATTAATATTTCAAGGGCGTCAGTAAGTCCTCTTCTTATTTTTGTTCTCTTCTTTTTGGTCTTTATCCCATGCCTCCAGCGTCGACGTCACGGCGTTCAGGAACCGGTTCCAGTGGGATCACAACTCATGGGCGCCTCCCCCCACCTTCTGAGGTACATTTCCGCCTCCACGTTCCTCCTTTGAGTCGGTGAGTCCTATATCGCATCATCGCCGTGAGATGGCAAGGGCTCTGATAAACATGCATAAGTTGTAACCCGTCCTTCACATCAGACACAGGCTCCGCAGTGTTTAGCGCATGGTCAGGATAGTGCTAGATGATTCATCGGTCGATCTATCTGTTGCTTATCTTTGCCGTACGCTTTACTCGTTTGCGATCTGCTCTAATCTTGTTTTCCCATCGTCGTACTGCTTTACTCGCTTTTGTCTTGCTTGACTTGTTTTCGTATCGCGTTACTTGCTTTCCTGCCTCTTTCGTGTTATCTGCTTTACTCTACTCGTTCAGAATGATAGTGTTTTTTTTGCGCTCTTGTGCATGAGTGAGCGGAATGCTAAAGTAACTTCAAATTTGCGATCACACCCGAAGGCCCCTATTGGGCCACACATCACATCCCTCTTCATTTATAGAGTCAGTAAAGGTCTGTATTGCTGGCCTGGATGCTACCATGAGAAGCCTCGATAGCATGTGCAGTTGCCAAAAGCAACAGGTTTGAGGAAACTGACGCAAACTGAGCATGTCGGGAATGGCTTTGAAAAGTGACGCGCCACGGGAACGCAATCAAGACTTGCTTCACAGTTCTAGCTGGATTACAATTAAATACAGGCAACAAGGGTGCCCCGAAGTTTGTCTGTGTATCTCTTAGGTATGTCCCAGTCCATCTGCGTGGTTTTCAGAGCTCACGATAATGTGTAGCCGTTGATGAAGGTCAGAGGTGCATCTATAGAACGAACGACTGAAGCACTGAAGCGCGCACGACTTCAGTAGAGCAGACATGATACAAACTCAACCTTCGCCGACTGTAAAACAAACACTCGAACAACCAGCCACTGATTTTGACACCTCACTGAGTGATGTATGGTAGAGATGGCAATAGTTCTCCGTTGTGGAGGTGTATACGAGGCTACTCGTGTACACTTCCATCGGAGAGTGATTAGGACTTAGAATAGCGACCTTGTACATAATTTCTATACGTACGGCCGCCACTCGAACAGAGGGCGCGACGCCACATTCGTTGTTGTCTTGAATTTATTCATTTTTCATTCATTTTTCGTTGGAACTCTTGACTCCCTCGATCCCGATTATTCTAGATGGATCCATCTTCGCCCTCAAGCACGCCATCAAGATGATTCGACGCGCGGACGAGCTCCGTACCCGCAAAGGACGTTCGACGAAGGCTGAGCGGAGTTGGAACGGGTGAGCCGAAGTGTTGGATACTAGGAACGGATTAGCCGAGAGGCCCTCGGGGTGTCTCATTCCGCGCTCGATCAGCGTAGTGTTTGCTCTATCTTTCATTTCTGATTATTCCTTCGATGGTACAGGCTTCAGGTCGTCGTGTTCGAGTTTTCTATGATCCATCAGCAACAGTTGAGTTCAATTCTAATTATATTTCGTCTATTTCACTTTCCAGGGCCTAGACAGCCCAGTTTATCTCTACTTTTTGCTTCCACCATCCATCTCCTCTCGTTTCGGCCTTCCGATGGAGTCTCGGGTGCACGGGATCGATCGATGATTGCGCCGCAGCTTGGCGAGCGAGTCTGGCGGCCGGATTGACGACCCGAGCCCTGCCTCCCTGTGTTGCGGGCCACAGGAGACTCGTCCCCCTTGTTCGCGTTCGTAAATAGCCGCATCGCGTTCGTTCTTTCGCGCTTCGTTTCTCTATGAGCAGG